TACTAAAACTGAATCAAAATATTTTTGATAAACATTCAAGAAATAAATTTGATCAAGAAACCTATCTTATGTGGAGATGCAAAAAAAAGTAAAAACATGTTTAATGGACTAATCTGTCATGTTATAATTTGTTTTGAAAATAAAATGGTACACATGGAGGATAGGTGACTTGTCCAGGGTCTACCCAAAACAAAATAGCCTAACATACAATTTTTGTTTTCCATTTCTCTTAATGAAAGAAAATTATGTTCTTGTTTTTAGGCTTTAAAGTAAAGAAAATCAAGAAACTTTTACATAAAAAAGAAAAAAAAACATCACTGAAATATATTTCTAAGACTATTAGTGTAAAAAATGCAATAGTCAACATTTATGAATTGCCTTTTCATTTTAAAATAGATTTTTGTCATTTGTAGCGAAAGTTATGAATTGCCATAAAAACTGCCTGCATTTCCTCCAGTGGCCGCTTGGTGTCGCTGCTTCGGGGAGGCCCACAGCTTAAAATTGCTTACGTCACGTCCTTCTTTCTCTTCGACCACCGCCATAGTGGGGAAAGGATTGTGGAGAAAATGGTAAATATAAAATCATTAAACATCCATCTTTACAAAGCTTTTAATCCATAACTGTTACATGAAATGGATAATATATATTGTATTGGTAAAGAAAGTGTCCGTATTTTGATGAAAAATACGCAGATAACATGGTTAAATTAACCGAGATACGTTGCTAGGTATGCTAGATCCGAACTTTGGATTTTGTGAAGCGAATTCATCATAAGGACGTGAAGTACAAACTTTAGATACAAACATGTTACTGACTGGGTTCTGTTACATTTTCCAGTCGTCCCACAAGACTTTCAGGATCAAGCGCTTTCTGGCCAAGAAGCAGAAACAGAACCGGCCGATTCCTCAGTGGATCAGAATGAAAACTGGCAACAAGATCAGGTGAGTTCTCATGTTTCTGTTGCTGCAGCTTTATAAACATGAAACTTTACTCTAAAGAGCTAAAGGGATTGTTTAATCTACAGCATTGTTTAATGCGACTAGATCTAGTATTTGAAGGAGAAATACTCTGCTTAAAGCAGCCTAAATTGAATTTTTAATGGTGTACCAACCTGAAAATAATCTACACAAACCGCTTTAATAGATGCTAAATATTCTTGTGCCTGTGTAAAAGTTGCTCACTACAGCAATGTGGACATAAATGTTTAACGTCATCACAGGAACCCATGAAATGAGAACTTTTCAATGTATAACTGTATCAGTGTTGGATTAAGTAGCATATTCTTTACATAAATTTATTCAGTTTATGTTATTAGAATATGGCTCACAAAACACATAATCTAGAGATATTTTACAAAAGTAAACAATCCAAATGCAGTGGACTCCTGCATATTTCTGGTTACAGTTTCTGTGGAACATGACTAAATTATTTGACAAATTTGCGTATTTCTAGTACTTTTGATAGAACTTATGAGAAATATTAAAAAAGAAATTTAAGCTGAATTTATCTACATGCGTTGCTGTGTGACATGTTATTGGCTAGCATTTAAAAGGCAGGAGCCAATCCAGGAGCTGCAGTTATTTTTCTTGGCTGATTTTCTGTTCCTGTAAGAGCAGAGATAAGGAAGATGTCAGCTTAAACTGCAGCGCCAAGATAATTTTGACTGTGAAAATGAATTTATATTAAAGTTCGTTTGGTAGTTACTTTGACTTCATTCAAATTTACATGTTGATTATGTTGATATAGTATCATAACTTAAAATACTGACTTGTTTGTGTACAATATCTCAAACACATTTGGCAGGATATTAATAACATTTCTATTTACCAGAGGCAAAGCGAAAGTACAAATACAATTCATTTGCGAAGAGTTTGGGATGCATAACTTAGTTTTTTAAATCTTTTTTTCATATTCATGCAAAGTTAGGTTTTGGTTGCAGATTTGTACAAACATTGAATGGCAATGACATTTTTATTTTTTCTAAAAGTTACTCAAACTGCATAAAGAGTTGATCAAATTAACTTTGCTTACACACCTAAGTTCAGCAGTCTATGTGAAGAACTGACCTATTGTTTTCAGTCAAACAACTCGCTCCAGCGGCATCTGGTCAGTTAGCAGCTCTCAAAAGTGAAACGCCCAATAAAACTTTCTGGAGTCCAGTTATCACTCGGCTCACCTCCTGGTGATTAATGTGTGCGGGGTTTCCAGATCTGACAGCTTCCATCCCAAAAAACCAATGTAAAACCCGACTGAACTCTAAAAGAAAAAACAGCCCAAATCTCAACCTCTGACATCATTCATGTTGTGAGTATCAGATCCAATTGGGACTCGACTCTGAACACAATGAGACTTGTGTTTTCATGACTCTGTGACCTTTTAAATAGTAATTTCTTTTACAAAAACACCACATAGTTACTCTTGCTTAACCAATGACCATTATGATCATTGATGATGTCACATTCAACAGATTCTGGTTAATAAGAAAAGTTCAATAATGCAGTATTTTATTAAACGTTTTGTGCTTTTCTGCCACATACGATGTTTAAAAAATATATTCTGAACACTTTAAAACCTATTAAAAGCAGCATAAAATTTAACAATACTCCCAAAAGCTTCCCCCCCCCTTCAGCTTAATGTTCAAAATCAGCCCAATTGTGTAGAAACTCTCCCAAACTGGCAACACTGAATGCATGTTGTCCTTATTTGATTTGTGTTTACCTCAAATTATAATAGTGGTTTTTTTGTTTTTTTTAAAGTCAATGTTGCTCATTTGCTGACCATTAGTCTTAATTTTGGTCTCCATTTCTGTTTTCCTGATTTATTTATATTAAAGTTTCAGTGATAACTGACAGACTAATGGATAGAAGGAAAACATGGAGTCTATAACTTAAAGCAGGTCTGCAAATGCAGCGCTCATCATCAGTAGAGTGCTGTCATTAACCCTGCTGAGAGCATCTTCCTCCTGCTGCGCTCCTCCTCCTCTTCCTCACCACTCTGGTGATGAGGAAACTGCAGCTGCAGGACAAATTATTTATGTTTTAATAATGTTCTCATAACATAGTAATGATGTTATGGGGAGTTGAAGCAGCACTAAGAACGTATAAATATTCAACTGAACTTTTCCTCCGTCTTGTTTTCAGGTACAACTCCAAGAGGAGACACTGGAGGAGGACGAAGCTCGGCCTGTAAACATGGAGGCCGTTTGTCCCGACCTCCAGATGTCTGGAGGGAGCTGCGTCATCTGGAGCAGAGTTCGTTTTGTACAGATACTCTGGCTTTCTTCGTGTTTGACAATAAAAAGTCAGATTTGAAATGCAGATGTTTGGGGGTTTTTTGTCTTAACTATATCAGAAGTTAGTTTGCAGGGAAAATGATTGTAAGTGACAGGAGCAAGTGATTTAATAGTTGCATTTAAAGGTGGGCGATGTGGACTAAAAACTGGTATTTTGTGGCCAAATTGTGATGATAAAGATTATAATTTTAAAAATATTTTGTAGGTAACTGGCTGCATGATGCAGCTTTAGTGTCGGTGTTTTTAAATACATTCCCATTTGAATCAATCTTTCATTACATATTTGGTTGGAATATAACTTAAAGAAAGTGAAACTGTTTTTACCCAACATGGCAGCGACTTGAACTAAATGTTAGTCATTTATAGCACAGATATCTTAGTATTCTTGAAATAAGAGAACCTAATTTAGCAAGAGATTAGATCTTAGTTTCAGTCTAATTTCTTATTGATAAAGTTCAAGTTCCATTGGCAGCTTATTTCATTTACAAACAGTGAAATAATCTACAAGTACTTTTATTTTCATTTTTTAAAACAAGCTCCTGTTTGTCAGCTGTTAAGTCTCATTTCAAGTGTACCAAGATATTTGCACCAGAAACTCGACCAAAAATACTTGGTAAGATTTTGTTTTTGCAGTGATTTCTAGACCCATAAAAAAACAAAACAAGAAAAAAGTTGCTATTTCTTTAAAGTTTGCATTTATTTAAAATTTGACACAACAGCAGTTATTCAATTGGCTTAAATTAGCAGCAGATAAAAAGTGTTAGTGCTCAGTGTGGAGGAACAACAGAAACCCAGTAGATCCATTTGGACGTTTACAATCGTTTCCGTTTGTTTTGATAAAAACCTGCTGATTTTAAATGGCATGACCAAGAAATGTCATTGAGCAAGTCTGTCACTTTTTTTAAAGTGTTTGAGAAAGCAGCAGGGAAATTGTTCCAACATGCAAGTTTGTAGAGAGTTCTTCACATTTTAAGGACAATTAGAAGCAAAGACACAGCACCTTTAACTTACTGTAAAAGCAGATCCGTAATGTGAATTTTGGTTGACTGTACACATCATGCATGATTTGGTAATTGGATTTTCTAATCAGACAGTAATTAGAAACATGCATTTGATTTTTGTTCATAAACACAATGGATTGGTAGAAATGTAAAACTTGATTTGTTTTTTCTATAAGCTAAAGGAAAAACAAAAACTTCACCAAAAGGTAATTACATGTTTGAAGAGATGTAATTACCAAAACATGCATTTTAAAGGGGCAATATTATGTATTTTCCAGGCACATGGTGCCATTATTCTTTGATTATGGCCTTATCTTCAATTATAAAAATCATGTATAAATCAAATGACAAGTTATTTGACTTGTAATAACGTCTTGAAATTGGGCCTCTCTCTAAAAAAAAAACTGTCGTCAGAAAGTCCTCACAATATGGCTCCTCTACTAACCCTCTAACATTTTTACTAGCGTCACACTGAGAAGTAGCTCATAACGAGTTCTACCAGGTGTTTGCTAATTGCTGCTGGCTAGTCTGAAGGAGCTGAGTGAGGGAGTGGTGGGTGGGGAGGGGTACTCTGAGGAGGAAGCTTGGAACCTGCAGCTCTGAAGGGGAGCTATGTATTCAAAGGCGGAGCTAAGTCCAACCAGGCGTTTTGAGCAGCTAAATGGTTGCCATGGAGATTAAAGGATCAAAGCAACACTCCAGTTGTTTTTGATGAGGGAACATGAAATAAAGTTCAGAATTGATTTTACATCATACTGCCCCTTTACCAACATTTTTCATTGATTTGAGAAATAGCTCATATAGCGAGCTCAGCAGATAAGTTCTACCAGGTGGTTGCTAATTGCTGCTGGCTAGTCTGAAGGAGCCGACTGATAGAAGTTTGCTCTGGGAGAAAGAAACTTGGAAATGAGGTGGAGCTGCGTCTCAAAGGTGGGACTAGGTCCACCCAGGTGTTTTCCACACCTGAGTGGTTGCCATGGAGATCGAAGGAAACACTCCAGGTATGTTTTTGATGAGGGAGTAACATTATAGCATGATGTAAACCTTAAAATAGGTTGATTCTACAGAACACTGCCCCTTTAAAGTACGCCATAATCTCAAGTTTTGCTTCTAACAAATGAAAAGGAGGATTTCAGCTTCCTTAGAGACTCGAACCTCCAGCTGCTTCTCTTGGCTCTGTCAAAGTAACTCACTTCTTCAGTTTCTTCGCCATTCGCCTCATCGCATGCGGCCGCGCTCACTGCGCCAGCGCAGTTGTTGTTGACATTCTTGTTGAAGTTTTGCGCACAGCCGCAGCTGTGCTCCTCGTCCCAGGTGCCCAGCAGCTCCTTCATCTCCACCGGGGCGTCCTCCCGCAGGTACTGCCACGGCCGCTTCCCGTTGTAGTCCATCGCGTCCACGTTGGCGCCGAAAGCCCCGACCAGCAGCTTGATTTCCGCGAATTGGCCCTGCATGCTGGCGACGTGCAGGGGGGTTAGCCCGCCGCTGCCCCGCAGGTTCACATTCACCGCAAAGCCCGCACGCTCCGCGAACCGCAGCAGCTTCAGCAGGATCTCGTCCTGTCCCCGCTTGGCCAGCCAATGCAGCACCGAGTATCCGCTGATGAAGTCCCGCCGGGTCAGCAGCTGCGGGTCCTCGGAGATGAAGTCCTTGATGGTTTCGTAGTTCCCCTCTACCGCCAGGAGCATCCAGGCGTGCTCCATGGGATACAGAGCCCAGTCCGAGTCCTCCTGGTCCGGGGAGAGGCTCTGCAGCAACCCGCTGCTGCAGACGACCCAGAAATCATATTTGAGTAAAAGTGGCAACCGCTACCAAGTATAACATCCAAGAAATTACTAGAGTACAAATTTAGAAAACATAACCAGGACATACCAAAATAGAAAGCTACGTGGAAATTTAGGTATTTAAAGGACGAAAATGACAATTCACATACTAGGCAAAAAATTTTCTAAATCAGTTTTTCAATAAAATTTATGTTTTTTCATTCAGTGAAGTTAACTCAGTGGACCGAGTATCAAAGAAATGGTACTCAGTAGCACTTCATATTTTTACTTACGTTAAAAATATCAAATACTTGTTTTAGTCACGGCTAAAACAAGTATGTTAATTTGGAATGCATTTCATTTAAAAATTACATAGATGAATACAAAGGAAAGTGGAAATTTTGGTATAAACGTCTGAAACTAAATCTGCAGGTCTGTGTCTGGTGAATTTCTGGTTAATACATTCAGTGGATAGATAATCCAGACATTTTGCTCGAATAGCGATACTTCTTAAAATCACTCAAGTACAGCGCACCACATTTTCTCAAAAGCTTAGTAAATGTAACTGTTGGTACCCCACTCCGCTGCTGGATGCCCGGCTCAGGAGAAGCTCCTTCATGTACTTTCTACGCAGAACCGGCGGGACGGACTCCTCCGGAGCGGAGCTGTCGGTTACTTCTTGCTGCCTCTGCAGCCTCGACCTACGCGGGGAGGCTCCGGGCATGACCTGCATGCCATACCGAGACAGCCGCTCCACAATGGAGCCCTGTCTGGGAGTCCGATCGGGGGCAGCTGGTTCCGATCCGCTGCAATGCATACCGCCTGCCTTACTCTGCAGCTCCCAGGCTACTTCCTTTTAGACTACACCCTGAAGATGTCTCTGATAATAAACGCCAATAATTTCCCTCATTTCCTGTGTCGAGAAAAAAAAAATGCATTTAAAAAAAGTTGGCAGAAAATGCCCATAAGGAAGTTTTGTTTTCAAAAATCATAACGCGTCCCCTTTCTAGGGGCCATTTAGTGTCAAACACTAGTATTAACTCACCTGTCCTGGTACCAAACGCAAGTTTGTTCATAAAAGACCTTCTCCGTTTTAATAAATCAAGATGCATACTTTTAGTTTAGGGTTCATAACGAAACAAAACCGAGGATCCTGCTTTCCTTTGTAAAGAGGAACAAAGACAAAGTTCATTCTAATCTGACAAAACCCAATAGCAAGAATCCCTCACATGTGACCAGGGTGGACTTTAAAGCAGGAAGTAACTCTGTTTATTCCGATACTTTAAGTGGAAAAAAAAAAAACTGCAGCCAATGAGAACATGGTAAAACAACTTTATTCAAAGAAAAATACAGAGCATTAATAAATGCGTTAAAACTCAGGTTCTGAAGGAAGTTCAGTCAGCTCATCAATAGTTTGAAGAAAAGCGGTCAGCTCCGTGAGGTCAGCTGAAAACAGGGACAGTCTGGTTAATGATACTCCAACATGTGCTCCAGACTCAAACGGCTATAATTAATTTAAACGCAAGCATGCATTATAATAATGTCACCCTATTTTTAAATCGAGTCCAAAATTACACATCTGAGCCCAACAGTTACCTTACCAAGTCACCATCTGAGCAGACTAGAAATACATTTTATAAGATTTTCATTCTGGTAACATTTGAGTTAACTCTGGTACCATAAATGCCGACTATGACCAAGAGCTTTAAAACTGTTATATAGCTGGACATTCTGCATAATTGTCGTCATTTAAATGTTTGGTAAATTAGCCAGAGTTTTTGCAACTGTGCATTTTCCTCCCGATTTGAAGAAAACTCAGTCAGTGACCTGCTTGTTATTAATGAGCTCAATGCAGAACACGTAGAGTCCAGGCATGATTAGTCATGCATGCAATATAAGCCACCATGTTTTAACAAGATGGTGCAAGTTTTCCCCACCATCTGTAAAAGGAAAAACTATTTCCTGCCCAAGCGTGACCTTTCATCTAGCCTGATCATCAAGTGACTTTCTATATTTACACCACCTACTGCACCACATGACCAGCTAAGCCTTCAAAAAAGGCTTAAAACCAATTTTAAAAAAGCTGTAAGGATTTATACAGCATCTGTTATTGAGGATGCGCCAATAACACCATTAGCCATTTTAAAACGGTTTTACTTAATTTTTCCATAAGATTCAAATTTTTATGTGAAATGTTGTACCGTTTCACACTTTGTAAATTTTGTTTTCAGGTGCTGTGACAAAACTGGCTTAAGAAATTTCAATATCAAACTGGAAATAGTAATCCAAGGTTAAACATTTTAATTAGAGGAGTTTTCAAACAGTCAATGTCTCTAAAGCATCTGAAATGCAAGTTTATGAGTCAGACATTTTGACCACTGATCTGAAATGTGTCAATAGTGATCCACTTCAGAAATCTACCACCAATGAGTTCATACCTGGACACTCTGGCATTTCTACAGGGGAAAGGTATTGGAGCTCTTCTATCTTTTCCTCATCCAGATCAGGGCATCTGTGTGGAAAGCAAGCCAACCCAGACAGAGCCATGCAGCCAAGAGGAATCAGATCTTCAGGTACACTGTACCTCTGAAACTCTGAAATAAAGCAATTCAATAAAACATTGCTGTCAAGTGCTTCAGCTAAAACGATGAACTCTAGAATGAAGGACCATTTGCCTGCAAGACTTAAGTAATTCCTAATTATTTGGCAGTATTAAGTGGAGATATTGATTGGTTTACCTAATGGGTCATAAGGGATAAACTGCTCAACTTCTGGATATTCCTCCACTTTGGTCTGAGTAGCCGGCATCGCTTTTGTTTCCTAGTGGGAACAAAAGGAGCTCGTAAACACTGATTTAAAGAAAAGAAAAACTGAAGTTAGACCTCCAACCTGTGGTTTAGCGAGTTTCTTCTCCTGCGTTTTGACAGCTGGTGTTGAAATCCTGTTGCCCACCACACCAAAAGCCTTGCGGCCAGATGAGAGCGGTGTGACCATCGTTTTGGCCAACATAGGAGACTTTAGTTTCTCTGGTTGTGGAAACAAAAGTTAGTGTATTCTTGCAAACCAAGGGTTGATGGATGGAGAAAAAGAAAAAAAAAGTTGAATACCTGGAACAGATTTAAGTCGCCGGCGCAAATTCTGCGAGGATCCATGAAGTTGTGCATTTTCCTGCTCTGCAAAGATTATACTCTCCATTGTATCTGGAAACAGTTATGCATTAGTTTCTGCAGAAAATTACAAGAAGGTTATTTTTAAGATTAAAAAGGTCAAGGATTGTCAGACCGCCAATACGCTCCTCCCGCAAGAACAGCTCCAAGTTAATGCAGCAAGGTGTAAAGCTGAGCTTAAGGTCACAGAAAAGGCTCCCCCACCCCCAAATAGTAATTTTTACTTTGGGGATGGGGGGGAATATGCAATAGGGCTCTTGGAAACAATTTTTACCCCAATGAAAACATCCTGGGGCCAAACATTTAATCTGTTTAATTCCACAAAACAAAATGGAAGTATTAGTCCAGCTAGTCAAGTTTATTTTTAGAGCACATTTCAGCAGCAAGGCAGTTCAAATTACTTTAACAAAATTAGACACCAGTCAACATCATCTTTTAATGAGTCCCTTAAAAAAAAAAAGTTGATTGAAGTTTCATCCATTATGGTTCACAAGCAACTAAACGTATTCAACCACTTGAACCCATGGAGTTCAATATGAAACTAGTTCCATTTGGTGGAAACTTATCCTTACCAGTTACAAATTGAAACAACCATTTAATGTCTTACTTTTTAGTCCAGAAAATAGGACATTTCTCTTAAACCAAGATACTTGACTGCAAATCTTTGACACTTTAAAACATTCAGAACTCAGACTTAAAAAATACCATAGATGGCAAATTAACTTTTTACTTGTAAAGTTCTGTCAACACACCCAAATCAAATTCCCTCATCAGCAGTCACTCAGCTCTGCAATAGCCTGGTAAACAGCCAGTCATTGGGTATGTTGAAAAAGGGACGTTTCCAAAAGTCGCAGAATAGTAGCTTTTAAAGACTGATGAAGTTTCTGGGAGGTCAAAAAGTTTTACCTAGGTCCTGCCTACATGTATTGGTACTTTTGGTAGTGTAGTTTTTCTACAGGTTTTCCCATTAGTATGCTTGAATATAGCACTCAGACAGCTTCTTCGGTGTTTAAGGGTAGTTATGCAATATTTAAAGTTTTCTGATAAAGTAGATTAATTATAAATTGCCATGATGCACCTGAATATAGAATTACCTAACTGAAAGTGCAAAAGTTGATAAGGGCCGCCTTATTTATCCAAATACACATGTTTACATCGATTACGTGCATCACACTTATAATTCCAGTCTAAATATTTCAGTTAAAATGTCTGTTGATTTATCCGCTGACCAACACCAAGATGACCGTTAGCTTGTGTTAGCTCACATTACTTATAACTAAACGGACAGGTTACAAGCTTGAAGCAATTCAAAAGAACACTATGCAGAAAGTAATAAGAACAACGAAACGTTTCACCCACCTTTCTGACAGAGTTTCAATAAACGCTGTTCGTGTTTCCTTCTTTTTCGTTAGTCCTCTCCTCGTTGCCAGCTTGTTGTGGTACAAAACTGTAGTGTCGTTTCCAACAGCCGCCGCTTCATTTAAATACGATGCGTTCTTCCTATTGGTCGATCTCAGACACGTGACTAAAAAGGCGTTTCTATGGTTTCTATGATCAGTTAGCTCACCTAGCTAAAACAGAATGGCAAGATATTTGATTTGTAGTTTGTGATTTGTGGCAACTAGTGTTAGTCCCAGTTACGCTGAACAGGAGTACGATATGTGCATCTATGAACATGTTCTTCATGTTCTGTGGAATCATACAGAATTATATTTTAACAGCTTTCTCGAAATAGGACTACTTGCTGTTGCTAATTTCCGTTTGAAACGTTTTTTTTTCAATTAACTTTATTGCAAATAGACAAATCTTACAATTGTACAGAATTCTTATGCAACTATTTTGAGTGACTAGCAGCAGTCATAAAATGGGAAAAAGAGAGAGAGGAAAGTAGTGCAAAAGCCATATAACATAATAAGTGAATAATAGTATTAGAACAAATATAAAGCATATTTTAATAAAATAGGTCTCTTAATTTACCATGTGAGTATGTAAGATAATAAGATAATAATACATTATTGATTCCCTGAGGGGTGAAAATTTTGTTTGTCCCAGCACAGTACACAATAAAAATTAAAATAAATAAATAAGAATAAACATAAAACAATAATAGATATGTATACGATATATGTTCTATTCTATACATAAGATACATATGTATAAAATAATAGACATGTCAAAAATTGAATGGGATATACTATTGTAGAGAAAAGCAGGATTCTTTGTCCAAACTTTTTCAAAGAGCTGAGGAAAAGCGAAATTCTTTTGGAAAATACGTCTAGAAGCAATTTCTAAAAATTACATTTGCGTAACTTGCACTTTTAATATTTGGCAATAAGGATCAGGTTATTACTCGTGATTTCCAATTTTGTATCCACAATGTTATGTTTGTATATTTATATTATGACTCAACATCTAATTATGAAGATCCTCCCAAAATGAAAAGAATAACGTTGCATTGTTTCTACATCAGATTTTCCGTTTGAACGTTCACTGCCCTTCTTTACCATCAGCCGCAACCATCATGGCATCTTGCGTGGGGGGCGTCGACGGTGGAGGGGAGCATTCAGTGGCTTTCGCTCTTTAATTCCGTTTTCTAAAAAATATTCATCCAAAAAACAAATTCATAATTCTTAAAAACTATATAAATAACGATAGTATTCTCTGTATTTTTATTTTACGTCGAGCGTAAACCGGCTGAAATAAATGGTACGTTCCGAGCAGGCCAGCTTTGAGTATATCGTAAACGGCGCAGCTTCCTTTGCTAACCTCAGAGCGGCGGAGGGTTTGTTCTCCAGCTAACAGCACTCACCATGGCGTCCACTGAGATAGCAAGGCAAGCTGTAAGTTTCCCGTTTTACACAGAGATAATCTCACTATGCACGTGTTACACATCCGAGTCGCAAGAAAACTATATATTGATGTAGCTTTTTGTTACAGAGGGGGAGAATTATGAGAATCAGTAGAAGGGTTATCCTGCTAACATCCGTTTTCGTGCTCCATTCCATCAAAAAACCTATAGTAGCAAGCTAAAGACGGTTTCAGTAATAATTAT